CCAAATTTTGAGTCTATAGATCCTGTAAGAAGGTATCCTCTAAGTTCAACTGTTGCCATCCATCTTCATATCATACTGCCAACAGAGCCTTGAATAGAGCTGAGCCAAAGCAGGCATCATGACCTTGAACTTTGACTACTGTGAGCTGAACATCTTTCCTTGACAAATAGTCAGGCTCAGTCTTCTTAATATAGAGATGTTGGCTACTAATATACCCCGGGAACATTCTGAAGGGATCAGCATCCTCTATAATGTGGCTCTTTTGACAATTTGTAAAGTGTCTGATTTACAGAAGCCTTCTTGTTTAAAGTTTGGGGTCTGTGAGGTCCCTATTTCACTGTTTCAGAATGCCACCAGACCTATGGTTTCTTTTTCCTTTCCACACCATTGTAGCTAGGAGACACAAATTTAGTATCCAAGAGTATTCCAGACCACAGGTGAGGGTAAGGGGGAGGGAGAAAGTAGGCAAGTCCAACGTTTATAACAAAAGCATGCGTGGTGGAATGGAACCAGGTATACGGAGGGAAACTTTAAATTTATGCTGACAATGTCGTTGTTCAGGACTGATTGCCTCATAAGAGGAAAAATCCTTTACAAATATGTTTCCATTTTCCTAGAAACATATGGAAATGTTCTGTCTTCCATCTACAACGCATTTTTATGGAAACAGCAAGCAGCATGAGGCTTTATTATAGTTGTTTAACGAGCTAACCCCATGTTAGCTCTGGTCTTTCATCCATCCACCATGGCAGATGCCTAGGAAAGACAGCTCAAGGCGTCTGCATAGGGATCTTATAAGGCTGCGTGAGGGGAGTGTCTAGGGGTACGCACATGCTCAGGATTGGTGTGGCTCCAGGCTTGGAGAGTTTGCCCTGTGTTGATTGGTGAACTGGTTGTTATGGCCCATAGGCCCTCCCAGGGTGGTTGCTATGATCTGCATCATTGATGTGCGCTTGTCCATAAAGCACACCCAGAGCCGTAAAGCATAGCACCACCAGCTAACTTCTAATTGTTTCCTTGTCACGAGGCAGGCATCTGACCTCCTAGTGACTAAGACAAGGTCAGACAAGCATGCTACAATGCATTTTAAAATCTTCTTTTTCTTTTTGCTTTCAATACATCCCCACTGCAGTTTTCTCTCCCTCCATTCCTCATAGTCTCCCTCCTCAAGGTTCTTTCAAATTATCACCCTCCTTCTCAGCACTGCCCTCCAAACCCTACCCCAGCCAGTGCAGCTACTTCACTGTGTTTGGATATCTGGGCTGAAAAGGCAGCTAAACGATAATTCTTTGGAGGCAGTGTGATAGGAAATGTTAGCTGGGGTAGCACAACCCCCCAACATAGAGTAGAGTTGTTATTTTCCATTTACCCAGATATCACCAAGCACCATTCTTTGACCTTGCCTGCCACACTCTGTCCCAAAGGAAGTTGACTTCAGTGGACAATAGCAAAGATTTCCTTGCCATCTAGCATCTGGCTAAGACTGGCTAATGGTGAGCACTGGATGAATATCAGAGAGCAGGAAGAGAGTGAGACATGTATTCCTTCCCTTTGTGTTCCAGTCAGGCAGAAACTGCATTGTGCTATCTAAAGCCACAATTCCTGTCAGGTGGCCCCTTCCTTTTCTTCCAATACAGTTATTGCCGGGTTCCAGTAATGTCATTTCTTCCCTTTACTTCTTCAGTCTTAAAAATGGGGATGACAACCCTTCTATTGCTAGAAATTTTATGCTTGTCAATTTTTATTGCTTGCGGGTACCCTTTACCCTACACATAATATAAGTGGTTCTTTCACTACGCTTATCTCACCTGTACTACTTGTTTATTGCCAGTGTCTGTCCCAGGATACTAGTGTATACATTCACCTGCACACATTCTATCTCATAGAATTCCACACTTTTCCATAGCCTGAAAAGTGAGGTCACCTAGTTGAGTTGCCCTTTCTAAGAGAATGATCTGTCTTTTCCAGACAATTTAACATGTTCTCCATAGATTTCACTCTTATAAATTAAGATTGAATTACAATGTTTATAAAATACATATGAAGATTGAGCTGGTTAGTTTTGTTGTAGCTATACTAAATCACTTTACTTGGGTAAGTAGATGCTATGAACTCAGGGTACACTGATTTCCAGAAAGTTTTGTCAACATGCTTTACCTCAAACTTTAAATCAATCTGTGTTCTAGGAGGAATTCATATTCAACATGAATTTAAACACCAGTTGTTTATGATCTATAATCTCCATCTTGATATCACCCATATATCAGAGTGATCATTCTGAACTTTTACATGGCCTCACTTACATATGTTGATGAAGAGTTGACTTTCTAGGCACAGAATTGAGCATCTCTTATCCAAAATGCTTGAAACCTTTTTTCAACTTAAGAAGTTATTTATTAAACAAGTTAAATCCAACTAAAAGTGTATTTAAAAACGGTGTTGTTGGATCATTTTGAAATTTGTACTTGAGAACAAAAACTAATGCTTTAGTGACATGGGAAATCATAAAAACACACAACCATATAAACTATTGAAATATGAAACCAAAATACTGCACATATGTTTTAAGATGTCACTAGTATACTTCAGTGAGGGCCAAATTACCTATGTCCAAGATAATAAATAACAAATAAATAGTCCTGTTTAAGGTATCATATTTTGTTTTGTATAGTAATTTTTGTTATTTTGCTTTTCTGAGACAAAGTCTCATGTATCTCAAGCTGGTCATGAACTCACTATGCAGCCAAGGCTGGCTTCAAATTTTCAGAGTTTCTTGGGTTTGGAATGTTGGCATAGATTATATAAGTTGCTCATTCTTAATCATCCCCCAAAAATCCATAAAATGGGAAAATAATCTGGAACTTACTTTTGAGGACAAGAACATAAATTAGTAGACTCAATCTATATATTTTGTTGTATTCATCCCCTCTTTCCATCCTTCTGTCTCAGTTTATTTATTCATTTTGCACCTAGATTATGTAATTATCTTTAGCATCTCCCTATCCTCTTTACTTCTTTGCTCTAGATCTTTGAAAGAACACAAATGCACTTGTGTCACTTACTTTTCATTGCCATCCTTTAGGTTTAAATTCGAAGTCATTACCTTGGGTTGCACAGAATCTGGCTACTGTTCCCTGCTGACAGCCTCATCTTTGTCAATTTGCTTTTAAGCTTGGTTTTCATCCTCACACTGTCCCTGTGCTTTTGCACTTTTACCTCTTCATCTTTCAAATCATCACTTTAAAAAAAATTTCCTGCTTTCTGCTGTTCCTCTGAGAAAGCAGGCAGGGCTCCTCCTCTCTCTCTCTCTCTCTCTCTCTCTCTCTCTCTCTCTCTCTCTCTCTCTCTCTTTCTCTCTCTCTCTGCCACGCCCCTCCCTCCCTCCCACCTTCCCTTCCTCCCTCCCTCACTCCTTCCCTCTGCCTTCTCTCCAGTCCCTTCTTGAGGTAAACTTCCATGTTCACAAGGACAAAACTTCCCTATGATCCTTAAGCCACCAACTTAGTTTTGTGGCTTCTCTTTCTTCCTTTAGCTCCTCAGCCCCCACCTTACCTTTCCTATCACTTAACACAATGACAATCATTTATTGACATGCCTGTTGATAACTCACCACTATTCATTGTGGGCTGAGAAACCGTTTTCATCATTTAAGCCTAGTCTTACCTTTCCTTTCACTTAACACATTGACAATCATTTATTGACATGCCTGTTGATAACTCACCACTATTCATTGTGGGCTGAGAAACCGTTTTCATCATTTAAGCCTAGTGCTTGCACAGAATGTCCAATATTTAAGAAATTCTTCCTAAATGAATGACTAAATGAATCAATTATGAGTTGAATGGAGTGTATGTTTGAATTTAGTTACATACATGAAGCAAATATAAGAACTCTGACTCTTTATGGGATGGTCTACAATTAAACAGGGCAGGGTTTTTTTAAGATTTTCCCCTCTAGATGGACCAAATCCAAGGTGAAGTCTTTTCGAATAGAAACAGATGAGCTGGCCTTTTGAATTGCAGTCCCTCCCTAGTCCCTAAAGCTGGAGTTAGGGAATAATAGCACTGGCCTTAATTAGCTGAAGGAAGGGGTGAGACTAACTTCCCCCTGGGAGACACCAAATCTACACCATCCATCAGTCTTGATCACAGATGGGATACAAGCCAGGCCTAAAATTACTTCAGCTCTAGGTGACATCATGGCTGTATTCTTTCACATCTAACTCACCCCAGATGGCAGCGAGATGATTTGAAGAGCAGTCATAAAGCAGGCAGAGAAACTTATATCACACTACAGATGATTACTGTGACAAATATCATTGCAGACTTCCTAGTCACATAATAAACTTGGGTAAAATTTTCAAGGAGAATACAACAAAAACATCCTTGCCATCATTGCCATGATTGCATATTTATTGAACACCTCACAAATGTTAGACTTTACTCAATATATTCAATGAACAACATTTCTGTGTCTAGAAGGGATTGGGGAACACTCACCGTTATATTTTGATATCAATTGCTCAGGACTGTTCCAGACCCCCTGAATGAGGAGGTTAGTTTGGAGGTCTGGGCAATCTATGGGGCCCCTGGTTGTGGATCAGTATTTACCCCTAGTACACAAATGGACTTTGGGAGCCCACTCTACAGACTGGGATACTCTCTCAGCCTAGACACATGGGGGAGGGCCTAGGCCCTGCTCCAAATGATATGACTGACTTTGAAGATTCCCCCATGGAAGGCATCACCGTCCCTGGGGAGCAGAAAGGGCATGGGATAGGGGGTCGGAGGGGGGCAGGAAAGGAGGGGAGGGAGAAGGAACTGGAATTGACATGTGAAACAAGCTTGTTTCTAATTTGAATTTTTTAAAAAAGATTAGAAAATTAACTCCTATGACTATTCTAAAGCATAATGTGCAAAGTTTATATGCAAGCAAACATGATTAGTGTTTTCCCCGCTGGAAGTTACCCTTCCACTGAGCTTTCTCATGCATGAGGAGAGAGGAAAATGGAACAAAGTGTAGGCCTGAGAAAGTCACAAAAGTTTTGCATAGTGATACTTGAGATAGTGGGCAACCATGAATATCAGAGGGAGAGCCATGCAAATGAATGGATGGGAACCAGCTTGGTCCATCTCCTAGTGCCCCTGAATACAACTGCTCTTTAATAACATCTAAGGTTTAAAGTAAAAGGGAAGTAAGGGTTATAAAACTAAGGAGTAGCTTGCTTCTACAGTTACTTTTCAAGAAAGGATCTTATTTTGCATAATGGGTCTCAATGGGACTTGGGTGGTCAGTGGAAACTCTTGTCAAGTGACTGAGACACTCATTGTGCTAGATGAACTGTATAAATCAGCATGGGCTTGTGGTTTTATGGAAACATGAAAATGAATGCCAAGTGATTACAAAGCATGCAAGCAGTAGGCTACACTACTAGTAGGTGACTGCCTTGGCTTAGTACCTCTTTATGGGTTCACTTTCCCCTGTTCCCACCCTCTTCAGTAAATCCTCTTTCAAGGCTTAAGGTTTGAGGCAGTGATCAAGCTCCATGGCATAAGAATTGGTATTCCTCATGATGCTCTCCACCAACATGACTGGCTTGGGATTTCTTCCAGCAAAGCAAGAGAGCCAGGTACAGATCAACATGGCTGCAGCAGCTCCGCCTCCAGCACAGTAATAGGCCCAGCCAAGTCTACAAGTTCCTGTGGAAACAAGGATAAAGGTTGATTTGTCTTATCATATATCTTTTTGTTAATAAACTATAAACATAACCTCCTGAAAGTATATTTTAATTAAAACATCATTACATAATTTCCCTCTATCACCTTTGCTTTCTTGCAAGCTCTACTTCCCCCTCCTTTCTGGCCTTTTCCCTCATTTCTACTGGGGTGTGTGTGTGTGTGTGTGTGTGTGTGTGTGTGTGTGTGTGTGTGTGTGTGT